GGGGGGGGGGGGGGGGCGACGGTGATGGCATATGCATGAGACTTCGGCAAGCGTTTGCAGGTCAGGTCGGCATTTTTTTCCAGCCCATGATGATGACTCTACGTGATGGGATGATTTGGGAGGGGAAAAGACTGGAACACACATCTTTCGGAGATTCTTCATCCTGCCTGTGCGAGCTTTCCCTTTGTTCTTTCTATGAAATCTGTGCGTTTGTTCTCGGCGGGATGATCGGCACTCGGACTCGGGGTTGGGAGCGTAAACAGGATACCCTTTGATGATCGGCCTCTTTGATAACTGCAGTGGGACCGGGAAGAATGTTGCCAGAACAAAATGGCCGAGTCCATGAATAGAACGACATGTCTTGCACACCTGGCTCTCCCGGGACCAAGGTTACTGCGTCTCCAAGGGCGCGCCTTGCATGTCAAACATGCCGCACGCAGCGGCTCTCGGGAACTCGCCATGGATGGTGAATGCTGTCGGTGTATCTTTGCTGACGGATGCCAGCAGGCTCTTTTAGGACTATACGCAGCCACTGTGACACCTGGGATATGTTGACGTGTTTTGCCGTTCAAACGGCCGGACCAGCAAGATTCGCGGCAGGCATCACCAACATGCAGCAAACTACCGGGGGTGGACAAACTTTCTCTGGCCAGGGTGCTTACTCGCATGATGCAGACGCTCGTCTATCGATCGAGGCGTTTCGTTTGCTTCTGCTCGATACATGTGTGCCGGTGGCTGAAGCCCATAGTCACACAATATACACCGGTCCTAGAAGAGGGCGCTCCTATTTCCAACGCCATGGCTGAGTAGGGCAGTATGCAGCAGCCCGAACGCTGAAGGATGCTGGAAAGCCCCCATTTCTTGCCGCTGATTCGGCCCTACAAGTCAAAGATGACATGCCTGCCTGATTTGTAGCGTCCGCAGCCGATCTTCAGGGAGACATCTGACTGGGAGGGCATGGATGGTGTTGTGATGTGTCACAGAACCGGGACGAAACGTCCAAAAATGACATCCGCAACCAAGGATCGTTAGTTTGCTTCCCAGTCGGTGGCTTGCTTCGTGTATGACAGACAGTCTGCGACGAACGGAGAAGATGACAGGGGCGTGATGAGCTGGCAGCGGGCTTCATGTAGACATGCTCGAGTGGCGTTTGGGGTCCCTGGCAGAGATTCGACTGGTTTTGCGCCAGCACTGAGACTTGCAGAACATGTCGATTCCGCGGGGACGCTCGGAAGAGAAGGGGAGCTCCGAATGTTTTGAGGACAGGAAAATATCAAAGGTCACATCGCACGCGTCTCCCAAGCCCTGGGTACACGAGGGTCACGAGATGACAGCCCTGATAAAAAATGGCGGGGTCGACGCATCCATCTCATCTTCATCTAATCCTGCCAAGCCAATGGTCACATTCAAGCACGCGAAAGCGAACAAGTCGTAGTGAAAACTGTCATCAGACGAAGCCGCGATGCGTCCAACCAATGCAGTAGTGGTGGTAAGCCGAGATCGAGGCCACCCAATGCAAAGGGTCACAAAGACAGCTTCATCCTAGCTATCAAAGATCGCCTCGCCTTGTCGAAGCTACGAGAAGAAATTGCGTACACGAGAGGGTCATGCATTGGTCAGGGTCCGGAGGGACATCGAAAAGTTAACCTCCCATTGCCAATGCCAAGCCGCAATACATGGTGAAAAGAACACTTGGTCATGCTTGCCAGCGGGACCGCCATACAGCGCGCCATTTGTTCCACAGCTGCTCAGACAGTGTTTTGGGTAGTAACGGCGCGTCTGGCACATGTGTCCAGCCATGTCAGTGAGTTCGTTTGTGCGCCTCGGGTGAGGCTCGTCTTGAGTAATGAAAGAAGTATCACAGCCAAGAAAATCGAGGTGATTGGCCATGGGATTGCCTCACAGCATTCCACTTGGATAAATAAAATGTGAACAGAGCAATAGAGACGAGGAAGTTCGGGCATGACCTCGACGCGACATTACCAGTGTCGTTTCCGCGCCCAACTACAGCATACCCTACCCTGGTGTCGTCCGACAGAAAGCCAGGTCCAAGGATCCTACTCAAGTAGACGCAGGAAATGCTTTCACTTGTCCAATGTCATGGCGTTGAGGCCATACTTGGCATAGAGAGACACAGATGATGGCCCCCCGCGATGGCCAATTGCGAATATGACGTTGAAAAAGCCCTCACATGGTGCATAAATTTTTTGAGGTCTACTTGCCTTGGAAAGATCATCTGCTAGTGACGAAAATGCAATCTCCAATATTAATACGAACAACCGAAACGACGGACTGAGCCACGTATTGGAGACCGCAGATCGGACACCTCGTATTTCACCGAAGCAAAGCCCGAGATGACAAGGCACATCGGATCAATCAACCAGTATGACAACCGCACACGGTCAAAGGCGTTGTGCGCATGATAGCCACGCTATTCAGTGGCGCAATGAGGAAGACGCGCCACCCATGGCCATGACCATTGCATGATGACTGTCTCCGAGTCATAGCTCGACTTGCAAGCGCGCCCACGCGTCTGAGGGAAGACGTGCAGACACCATATTCCGTTCCTCGTGGAGCTCAATCGATGAGCAGACCTATCGATGACTTGCGTAAAAAGGTCGGGATGCAGCCTACTGTGGCCGCGGATGCAAGTGCTGCTTTGACTTCCACTTTGCCTAGAAAGCCCAGTCAAACGAGCTGATCCCGCTGAAGGTCTAACCTCTTGAGACAAACTGTTCATGTCAGGTTCCACCTAAGAGCTTCTTAGAGACCAGAGGTACGAATGATTTTGGTTGATCCTGATTTGCTCCGCTGTTGGGTGAAGAAATACCTCTCACTGGGTGTCGCGGCCAGCTGATCATCTCGGAGAGCCAAGTAGCTCGCCCACGCTTTGCGACGGACGTGTCCAATAGTTAGTTCGCATCCAGCCATGGAACCATGTTGATGGGTCACATCAGTGCATGTTGGCATCCTCCTGCTATGGAGGCGAATGAAGGGAGAGAAGCTTGCGCTCCCATGCTGGGTCGGTTCCTTCAAGACAGTGTGGTGATGCGAACGAATCGGCTGACCAAGTGCCGATTGGGTGTCTGATCATGCTGATCATCACTGACTTGCCGTCATAAAAGGGGACGGCAGGGCTGGGATCCATGGCTGCTCTTGAGAGAAATCTTCGACCATGCCCACTTGGTGTGCTGTCCCGACACGCTGGGGTCCGTGAGCTGCAACGGGTTGCTCCCGTGCAAACGCGACGCCTTGTCCGGGCGACGCGGTGCAGCTCTTGACAGCGAAGCTTTGGGATGTCATGCGCTCGTCAACTCATCAGTGCCATCGTGGGCTCCGTTGGAGACGCTCGGAGGATCTGAAGCACAATAGGCAGGCAGCAAGGAGATCTTGAATCAAAAAAGGGAGGGGGGACAAAGGGGATGGACGTCGGGATGTCAACCCAAGGTCAGGGGACGGGGCACTAAACAAGGGGGGCTGTGGCCGATCATCTGTCGGAGGAAAACCACGCCCGGGGCAATGTTGGGGCTGTTCTTGGAACAGCAATGCCCAATCGAGAGGGCTGAGACGTTCGCCGATTTCGGATGACGCTAGTTGTCACTGGCTGGTGCAATGGCAGGCCAAGATGACAGAGGCAGCGCCCAACTAAACAAAGAGACGGACGTCTCAGGTTGATGCAACAGAGGGAAGCCAAGGCTTCTTGGCTTGCTTCGATGCTTTGGATGCGCGAAGCAGGAAAGACGCGGCTCGGAATTAAAGATGTGATCGTGACTTATTCCCTTGACTGACTACTTTGACAGACTCTTTGACGGACGCAAGAGCGACGGGTGGCCGCTGTCTGGTGCCATCATCTGTGCGGAGTCGCAACAATGCCCGAATTGATGCTAGAAAAGGGCTGTGCTAGGCGCGCAAGGAGACGGGTCGATGAACGGGATGCAAGGCACGATGGGTTCTGTAGTGGTTAGATCCGGCGACGCGTGACGCTAAGGAATCCGTCCGATGGTATCGAAATGAGGAGTCGTGGACCTCAACAGTTGCGACTTATCGGCAGCCGCCGCAATTCCGCCCGAAATGGACGGTAAGTGGAACACGACCATTACACAGGCGGCCACCAGTGACGGCGGCTTGTCAATGAACAGCGACTCTGTCATAATTTGCTCGGAAGTTTGTTCTGTGCTGCTTACTGCTTGCGTTGTGGGGTGGAGCCCGAATGCCGTCGGGATCGGACGCCGGGACTCGGGAGATCGCTACCATGTGGGCTGGGCATGCGTCCTGCCGCTTGAGTTTTCGCCGGTGCCTCGGACCACGGGGCGGAGCAAACTTTGGGGCCTTGTGTTAGGGCTCGCGCCAAGTGCCGCCGCCACTGAAGCGGTTCACGGGCACTGGCTTCGTGGAATGACTCGTGGATCCGATAGACACCAAGAACAGGCGCCTCTGTTCCGCATGCCATGTGCCAGGAGATTGAGCCGAAAGCTCGGGACAGCGGAATTCGGCCGAGAAGAGGATTGTGACGTTGTCAGCTGAGAAGGAGCAGACAGCGAAAGAAGATTGGGAGCAAGACGAACAGACGTGGCGCCTTGTCGCAAGCACCTGGATGGGGAAGAGGGTAAGGTTAGTATGTAGGGGGGAAAGGGTGATTGCCGTCAGGGGTAGAGGCTAAAAGGCAAGAAGGTGAGCAACCCTGTTGTTCATCGACTGCCATGTCAACCAATTCTGTCAGCTCCTTTCTGCTTTGTATGGGGCATGCTGTTCGTTGCAAAGTACCTAGGAGAGGAAAAGGGGGTAGGGTCAGGGACTAGGCCCGTTATGCGCCATCTCATCAAACTCTCGGTCTTTGGCAGACCCTCGGACCTCACCAGCACAATCGTGGTCCCAACCGCCAGCACGGAGACCCCAGTCAAGCCAGTGCAAGGCCAATCGGCCGACGGCCTTCGCGAGCGCTTTGTCCGAGAAGGGGTCATGAAGTTGAAACGCAAGGGCTGTTTTCCATCGCTGGGCGGGCCACACGCTGGGCTGACTGCCTTGGGACGTGACAGAGGGCGAGATTGATTGCACCACGGGGGAGGCTGTGAAGTGATGGCAGACGAAAAAAGCGAACAAAGTGGGATGAGAGAATGGCGAGGTGCTCATACGATGGGCATGGGCGGCGGGCAATGCACGCAAATACGAGAAGACGAAACAGAAGCTTCAGAATAGCGCCGACGAGGGCGTTTTGTGCAGGTGATGGATGGTTGATGGCCATGTCGGCCATTGGAGCCAGAAGCAGAAAATGAGGTGGAGGAGCCATGTTGTTTGGAGTGGATAGGACAGGCAGGAAAGCATCAATGCCCTGACTTGCCTCCCTCGGCGGTGCCTTTTCCGGGCAGCTTTATTTGATGGCCTGAGAGCAAGCGATCCATTGCTTTTTTTTATTTCATTCTCAATAGAATGCTGGATTGGAATTGGCAAGCACCGCCTCGCGTGAATCATGACGTGTCGGCGGTTTACGAAGGAAGGATGGTAACTGCCTCGGAACAGGAGGCTATTGCCCGACTCTGACGCTGACTGGATGCTTACTCTGAAGAAGGAGCAATCGCATCGTTGCTTGGCTCGTGGCTCGAGGCTCGAAGGCTCCAGGTCAAGGGCCAGTGACGGGCATTGCCCCCCCTGGTTGCTATTGCTGGCTCTCTTCTTTCCCTCTTGCTCCAACCTCAAACGCAGTGCGACCACGATAATTAAGATTGGCTCCTCCACTTTGCGGTGCCGAAATGTCCGTCACTAAGCCTCTCATGGTGATGGAGTTAATGAAATGACGGAGACAACTGGCACAAACGGCAAGGATCACGCAGGGATCAACGGCAGGACCAGGGCAGGGGTAGCAGGGGGGTGGGAAGCAACAGACAAGACAGAGCAGAGAGGGGGGGGGGGGGGGGGCAAAAAAGCTAAACCAAGGGAAAAGGGTGAGCCCCCCCCTATTGGGGGGCCCCAA